CACCTACTATCTGTTGTGGCCTGGTTCGCCCGCGAGGGACTCACAAGGTCGATTTCGGCCCCGGCCGGGGAGCAGGCCGGGGAGTGGTTGGTGCTGGACGTTCCCATGGAATGAGGTAGAGCGGAATACCGGGTGACATGTGTGATACGTAGAATGGATTCCAGGGATGCACAAGGTACCCCTGTTGTATGCGGCGTCGCCCCCTCAACGGGGCTTGTGTGTGTATGTGGATGCAACTAATCACAACAAGTTTTTTTCCTCGGCGCAAGCCCGCCGAGTTGCCGATACCCTATTCAACACACGTCTTGCGACATTCTACCCCCAGTTCGGATTATCCTAACAAAGGCCTCCAGCAGGGATACAACTTGGCCCCGCTGCTGTTCAACTTGTTCTTTGCCGCGATGCCCATGGTCGCCGTGGCCGAGTTCGACAAGGACCCCAAGGTGACGGCGGACATGGTCAAGATCGGGACACAAGTGGAGTACACGGGCAAGAAGGGCAGGTCGGCGGGGAAGAAGACGACGGTGGTGACAGACGCGGAGGCCTTGTGGGCCATGCTCTACGCTGACGACGCGGCCATCGTCTCGCGCTCGCCGGAGAGTCTCGAGAAGATGATGTCGGTCACGTGCGCGTTGCCGACCTGTCCGGACTGATGGTATCGGAGCCAAAGACGATGATCATATGCATGCTGCCGAAAGGGATCGAGGAACGCCCGTTCACGGTCAGCGCCGCCGGCCAGACGTACAAGCAGACAGATCGGTTTGTGTACCTCGGACGTACCATCTCCGCGGACGGGAAGGCCGACCGGGAGATCACGAGCCGCAGCTGCCGAGCGTGGAAGTGCTACCGCCGGAACAGTGCTTCGATGTACGACAGGCGACGGGCCAACCGCCAGCTCAAGATCCGGCTTCTCCAGGCTGAAGTGGTGGAGACTCTCCTGTATGGGTGCGCCTCGTGGAGCCTAACAGCGGAGCACTACACGAAGCTCAATGGGACCCACCGTCAGTTCCTCACACGGTGCATCGGCTGGAGCAAGCGGAAACGCTCAGACCGCCCCCTCTCCTATGCCCAGGTCCTCATCCAGGCAGGCTGCGAGGAAACCATCGAGGCCACCGCGCGCAAACGGAGACTATGTTTCGTGGGCTTTGTCATGCGCATGGAGGACAGCCGCCTCCCCAAGCGCATGCTGTCAGGAGCGATGGCGGGGGGCGCCGGATACCGGGGCGGGCAGGAGAGCGACTGGGTGTCTCGTCTAGGAGAGGACCTCGTGGCCTTCAACATGGGAGCCGAAAAGGAAGGGGGGAAATGGAAAGAGAGCGTCAAGGACCCGGAGGTGTGGTACAGCAAGGTCGAGAACGGGGCGGCATGGCTCATGAGGAAATGGCACAGGCAGGAAGCGGAAGCGTCCGCGAAGCGCCAGCGTGCGAGGGAAGCAGAAGCAGAGAGTACGGCCATCTCAGGACCGAAGAGAAAGAGAGTCGGGGAAGCGGCGGTGGGGGGGAAGAAACGGCGACCGGGCACTGCTGTAGAAGCGAGTAGGGCGGCCGAGGCAGCACTTGTGGCGAACCTTTTTTTTTTTTTCCCCTCTCATCATTCGACTCTGTCGGCTGTCCCTCTGGCCCCTAACTTCCACTTCTACTAGCTAAATGACCCAACCGGGGTCACATAGGAGGGGAGGCCTGGACCCCCTCCTGCGGTTCCTGCCTGAGGTATTTTTATCGCGAGGGTACAGCAATCCCTTCCCTCGCGACTTACGAAGTCGATTATGGTTTACTAACAACGAGCTTTGCAACGCGTTACTTTCATCCTAGACCAGGATTTATGTAGTGAGAAAAAACACTTACTCTGCCGGGACTCGAACCCGTGACTGGCCCTTAGCAGGCTGCGAGGTTACCCACTAGACCCCCGGGGCGACCGGTCTATGTACCCGGCTGATGTTGTTGCAACCTGTTTCCCTCCCTGCTGTTTGCTATCCTCCTTTATGTATGTCCTTTATATTGCCTTCGGCCTCTGTGCTGTGTTTCTTCTTGTCATGTCCTCCCTGCCTATACTCTGCTGCGTTGGGTACCTTGATCTCGCTTTTGCTGTTGCTCTTGTTTTTGTACATCTGGCTGTCTGCCCATCTGCCGCCTCTTTGTCCTGTTTGCTCCGTTACTCCCATTCCCTGGTGCGTAGTGCCCGGTGCTGGTAGGTTACCCTTTGATTTTTTCCTTAGGCGGGTGTGGGAAGCGTCCTCCTTTATTCTTGTTTGTGTTATATTTTGATCGGTTTCCAAGGGCTCTTTTCTCGAACGGTCGGTGCGGTACCTGTTCTTTTCTTTTTATCATTTTGTTTTCTTTTTCCGAGTGGTTTGTACCCTATTTTTGTTTTGTTTGTTAGAAAGGCTTACCCCATTAGACTACTCAGTCAGCGCTGACTCGGTGGTCTAATGGGGTAAGCCTTACTAACAAAAGATACACTCTCGGCTGGTAGCCACCCGGAACAACATTGGTGAAATTGAGAGCGAAGCATGAAATTGAGAGCGAGAGCCAAAAAATTGAAAGTTCGGGTCCAGACGCCTCTTGCCGTTTCTTGTGAAGTAGGGGACGGGCTCTTTCAAGTACGGCGCAAATTGAAGGTTTCTTGAGCAGCGTCACGAGCATATATGCGTGTCATCGTCATCGGATGCTGCAGCTAGGAGCTAGACCAGTTGCTAGATTTCCCCAGATTGGCGATTCCTGCCTCAAACTGTTGTAGGGCGGTGTGGCCTCGGGCGGTGGGCTCTGCTGTAGCTTCTCCTTGCCGCTGTAACTCCACATCGAGAGACTCCCACAGGATGACCTGGGTATCTGCTTGTAGCTACGGGCTGGCCCTTCAAATCAAGCTACACAGCAAGCTCCACCTCTCAGCAGTTGTCCAGCTGCAGCGCATCGCGCAATCTCGCTCTCAATCAGATACTTCGCTCTGAAGTTTACCAAAATATCGTGTTCCGGCTGGTCACTGGGAATTTAGAAGCAAGGATCTCCGGGGACGGACCCCTCGCCAGGCGCTGCAGGAAAAGAACTAAGCGTGCTTGTGAAAGTGAACATCTGGGATTCGCTGAGTCTATTGTGGTAACCCATACTAACAACGGATACGCGCACGGGTTCGAAGCCCAGTTGGTCGATTTCACAAGCACCCATAGTTCTTTTCCTGCAGCGCCTGGCGAGGGGTCCGTCCCCGTAGATCCCTACTTCGAAAATTCCAGCGACCAGCCAGGTGGCTACGAGCCGAAAGTATATCTTTTGTTAGGAAGGCTTACCCCATTAGACTGCCGAGTCAGCGCTGACTCGGTAGTCTAATGGGGTAAGCCTTACTACCAGCCTTGGCCCACGTCAAACCATTCCGAGTACTGCTCGTCGTCCGTTCGGACGCGCGCCCTCATGCCCTCATGGAAATGGCGAATGACCGCCAGCATCTTCGGGGGCACGCCGAAGCGTCGGAGCACGTCCCACAGTAGGTCTCGGTCCACCGAATCGTATGCCTTGGTGAGGTCGACGAAGCACGCGAACACCGCAGTACTCTTCTCCCTCACGAGCTCATGGAGCCGCCGGATCGCGAACAGCATGTCGAGCGTCGACCGGTGTGGGCGGGAACCGCTCTGCTCCTCCGGGAGGATGCCCTCTCGCTCGCAGTAGTATACGTATTTGAGTCTGTGGTTTGTGGAGGCGTGTTGGAATTCGGAAAAGCGGGGATCGAAGAAAAGTAGAGACAGCCCTGCCTGGTGGCAGAAAGTTTTTGTGCTCTCGCTGGGCGAGAGACAAGTAGCAAGTGCATTTGAGAGAAGGAGAGGAGTAAACAGCAGCAATTGAAGACGAGACCACCACGCAATGTCTAGTTGTGGACAAAAAACGGACTGAACGCCGCTTCTGCCGGTTGTCCATCTCCACAACAGACCTGGACGTGAGTCTGGCAGGTCTTTCTAGCGTTCTCAGTGATGTTACTGTACCCGCGGTGCACTTGTCCGATGCTTCTGTCAAAAACACGGATCCGTGAAAGTAGCAAGCGCCGAAAAATCCCGGCTCCTTCACGTTTCCGGGGAAAAACACCTCCGTATATGTTCAAGAAAACACGCTTCGGTGAAATGTTTCGTGTTTTTTTGGTCGTTAAGAACCACCCTAAGAGACATTTGCATCTGTGCTTGGTTGCACGCGAGGTTGTCCAAGCCCGAGAATGTCCATGCCTTGCCGCGAAAACTATATACCAGTCGGTGTCCACAGAGTACACGACACACCGATTTTTTGGACATTCGCGGCGGCAATAAAATGAAAAAGCTTCAAGAGTGCCGGCATTTGTAAGCCCGATTTTATAGTTGACTACCGTTAGACGCGCAAAAATAAAAACAGTACACCCCCCTCGATCTCTGCACCAGCACTATTTTCAAAGGAACCTCCTCCTCGCCGCTGATCTGCAACTAACTGCCCACCGGACAGCCCGCGAGTAGCCCCTCACGCCTTCGTGAGTGCTAATTATCTTGCAGCTGTCGCGTTTTGGGGCCTCTGTTCTTCTTACACGACAAAGAAAGGCGGGTTCGTTATTGTTCTTAACACCACGTCGTGATGTTATTATTATTTTTATGTGGTCAATTTCTTAGATTTTGATTTTTTTTCGAGGCCGCATTTCTTAACTGCCAAGCTCTAAAGTGTGAGCGCCATCGTTATCTTCTGATCATGATGTAATGCCGGAAGCAACATAGACATGGGCCTACTCTGATTGATACATATATTTCTGCCTAGAAACACGCACGGCAACGATCGGGGGGCAAAGCAGGGACAGAGAAAGAGAGAGAGAGAGAGTAGGCGATGATATACTATATACATACGCTGCCTCCCTCTGTAAAAGTCAATACGACAACACGTACTACGTACGTTTATCTCCTAAAAATATATAATAATAGTGGTCGAATATAGTATTATTACATAAAAATCTCTACTGAAAAGTATTGCGGGCTCAGCACTAAATAATTCAATATACTTCGTATATATGTTGTTGCTGCTGTGGAACATAACAACTTAGCTGACCCTAAACTTGCCATTGAACGATTGGTAATGGAAGACATTACTCGGAGTTTCTGCTTAGGCGCTTCGCGCTTGGTGATGTAAGAGCCTGGTCCGGTGAGAACCCGGCGGGCTCGGTCCCGGCTTTGTAGGGATGCGAGGTCAATGGTCTAACGACTACTGCATGCACGACTATGAGTACACCCCCC